ATCTATAATAACAAATTCAACATGCTAGCATTGTTTAAGTATATAGCCTATACATCCTTAAAGAGACTCGAAGCGACTCAGGTACTCGCGCAAGAGTAATAATAGGGAGTCTACGCGCTAAGCGGAAATACCCGTGCGTCGAGATTCGCGCTCGACAGCTGCGTAAACGACTCTTTTCGGAAAACAGCAGAACAGATTGTGGGATTTAACCTACTTGCATCGTACCGGTCAGATTGATCATTGAATAATCCGAGTTGCTTTTTAGTTTGCATAAATTATTCTCCCGTTATTTTAATATGCTAACAACATCTGATTTAGATGTAAATAAGGTATAACATTTCAATTACTTTCTACACCTAGTACGAGATACTAGAAAAAAATAGAGATACATAAAATGAGAAATAATCCATTTTTTATTAATAACCGTTTCGTTTCCATTAAAAACATTTTACCTCATTTTCGGAGAAAATCAACATATCTACAATTGATGCTAATATAACATAAAACATACATAAACGCAATAAGAATAATAACATTCAATATGAATGTATTATCAATCAAAGCTAACAGTGTTTCACGTGATTATTGTCAAACTATAGTATTCGACGTAATATCTTGGATTCAATAATTGATACATTGTTTCATACGTTGCAGATCGATGCAATATCTCCAGCCAATTACTACGATATCTCACGCGGCAACGGTAATGATGGAAATGAGTCAAAAGAGTCGCGTGTAGAGTGGAATTAAATGCAAGCGTGTCCCGGGCCGAATGCGAATGAATAAAAAATGTTTGGTTCGGCGTTGGGCAGGGCTTAAGCTGCGTTAGGATCGCATCCCCTTTAGGGACGCGAGGGGACGCAAAGGGCAGGTTCTGCGTGGGTCGTGATACACGGGCAGGGAGGAGGAACGCTCGATTCCCTGGCTACGGGAGCTGTCTGCGCGAATCTCCCGCAGCGCAACTCAACAAGCCCACTACGTCTCTCGCGATACGAGTGCCTATCTACGTGTGTATACAATATCCACGCAGTCGACGGGGTTCATACGCGTACATCATTTCCGTCCATTAGGGAAAAATACTAGTTTGAAAATTGAAAGAAATATGAATACCGGCTCCGACGTTAGGCTTTTCAGATGTGCCGGCGTCTATGGTGAACGAGATGATTTTTAGCGGCTGCGACCGCTCGACCGGAAAACCGGTGGAGAGGCTTCGACGGGCAGACAAAGAGGTAGGAGGGCTGATAGGAAAATTTTCAGTCGGGTAATCGACCGGCGGTTCACGGATCGGGAAAAACGCGACGGAGAGGCGTTCGAGCGGGAGGTGAACGCGACATAATTGTCCGGTGCAAATCGAAAATGGTCCGGTCGAAAACGCAAACCGCGCGGTTAAGAGACGCGTAAACCTCGCGGTCGTCCTTCCTCGAGAGCCTCGGCGAGCCTTTTACGGCGTGGAAGGTCGAAACGGAAAAAAGCGGTTCGTGGAAGGCGTCTATGCCTGATCCCCGCTCGACTGCCGGGATAGTCGGCCACTTTGTCGGCGAGTTTATTATTCGTAACGGAGAATTCGAGAGAGAATCGACTGGATTATCGTGAACGCCCTCCCTCCCGGCTACCTCCGGCCGTTTCACCTTCGCCGCTCCGATTTCGCTGGCCGAAGCCGAAACGCGACGGATCCGCGCGACGTATACCGCACCTTATCTCGAACTCGAATTAAAGTTTCCCACGGGAGCGACCAAAGAGGAAAACGACTAATCGTCGAGATTTACGAGCGGATCCATGCGCGCTTCGCATTCCCGTGTTTTTATCGACGAACGTATCTCTGGATGCGCGTAACTAAACTCTTCGATCGCGACATCGTTCCTCGAGAGAGAGAGAGAGAGCGAGGAACAGAGAGAGGACGAGGGTGAACCGATAAACAGAGGGAAACGTTTTTCCTCGCAGGAAATCCCTTCCCGCGGTTTCCTTCAAAAATCGTCCTGTGACGGATCCGAGGGTCTCCTTATTCTTCTCGACGTCTTTCGGTTGTCACGAAATCGGACATGACACTACTATTGAAACTGGAGGTTCTCGCGAGGAGGTCTATTGAATGCGTGCATCGTTCCGTATTACGCCGCCTCCCCCCACCCGCCCTCGCCGTCTATACACCCACTTTATGAAAAGAAGGGACCGAGAATCGAGATCCGAGGATCTCGAGACCGTCCTTTCTGCAGGGAAAGGTGCGCAGTATTCAGCTTAATACCCATTCCTCTTTTGCCGCGAGGCAGACCGGTCGCCTACCTGCCTGCGCGCCGGATAAGCTCGGCCGCGAAAATGCTGCCTATTGAACACATCTGTTAGGCTTGGTTCATTGAAAAGCTCACAACAGAGCCGTTTTCGTACGCGTTTAAGTTCGGGCAAAGAAACACAGTTTTCTCCAGGGAAAGCTACGCGTTATTCAACTTAATATTCGTCCCTACTTTGCCGCGAGGTGAATTCGAGTCGCCTACCTGCCCGGGTGATCTTCACCGCGAAAATACTGCTTCCCGAGGCAGCTGTTCGGCCGCTTCCATGGAAAATCATGGTCGAAACCGAACCGTTTCCGGTCTAGCAAAGAAATATGGTTCCTCTAACCTCGACCAAATTGCTACCATCGTCCTTTTTACAAATTCTCATTTTTTTAATACACAATAAAATTGACGAGAACGATTAAAAATCCTAGTTGGTATTTGTATTTCTTTGAGAACATGTTAAATTAAATCGCGAGTTGGAACCTGGGCACAGTTTGGCGAAACGGTGTCCTCGCTATTTCTTAGCTACGCTGACGCACAGGGAAACTCCTCTTTGCTTCTCTGTCGGGTGCCGCGAAAATTCGCAGCTACAATCAGATAAATATAACCCGCGTGAATTCTCGTGGCGATCCGCGCACTTCCCTCGCTCTTTCGCCTCTACCCCT